GGCAAGAACACGCTTCTGCCCCATCCTGAAATTCCCTTCTCTGTCCCCTGTCCTGTCCCTGTCCCTGTCCCTGTCCCTGTCCCTGTCCCTGTCCCTGTCCCCCCTCAGCCGCGGTGCCCGAGACGGAGCCCACGGAGCCGGGACCGCTCGGTGAGTGCCGATCCCGTTCCCCATCCCCGGGGCCGGGCTGTGCCGGGACAACCGGGGCGGGGGGAGGCGCTGGGTGAGGAATCGCCGGGAATCGCCGGGAATTGCCTGGAATTGCCGGGAATTGCCGGGAATTGCCGGGAATCGCCGCTTTCCGCAGACTGCCGGGAGGAGCAGTACCCCTGCACCCGGCTCTACTCGGTGCACAAGCCCTGCAAGCAGTGCCTGAACGAGATCTGCTTCTACAGGTGCGTGAGGCCGGGGGAACATTCCCTGATCCCCCCGGAGATCCCGGGAACCCCTCTGCCTCACATCCCGTCCTTTCTGTTCCCAAAATTCCAGCCTCCGCCGGGTTTACGTCATCAACAAGGAGATCTGCGTCCGCACCGTGTGCGCCCACGAGGAGCTGCTGAGAGGTGAGAGGGGCGCCCCAAAAACCGGGATCGTCCCCGCTCAAATAGCCCTTGTCCCCCGAATTCCGAGGAGGGAAAATCCCGCTGGGACAAAGAGACCCCGGGATCAGAGCGGGATCGCGGTTTGGGGTGGAGCTGGGTGCGCACCCATCGGGCGGGGGTCCCTCACTGCCCCCAAAACCCCAAAACCCCCCTGAGCAGAGCGGGATCGCGTTTTGGGGCGGGAGCGGGTGCGCACCGATGGAGCCGGGGGTCCCTCACTGCCCCCAAAACCCCAGAACCCCCGGGATCAGAGCGGGATCGCGTTTTGGGGTGGGGTCAGGGTGAGCAGCCATGGGGCTGGGGGTCTCCCCTGCCCCCAGAACCCCCGGGGCAGAGCGGGATCGCGTTTTGGGGCGGGAGCGGGGCTCTCCCCCGCTGCTCCCCCGGAATTTTCCCCATATCCAGGGCTATCCCCTCGCTCCCCGCAGCCGACCTGTGCCGGGACAAGTTCTCCAAGTGCGGGGTGATGGCCACGAGCGGATTGTGCCAGAGCGTGGGAGCATCCTGCGCCCGCAGCTGCGGCGGCTGCTGAGCCCCGGCCCCGCTCCGGAGCTCCCGGGCATCACCGAGCAGCTCCCCGAAATCCCGGGAATTCTCTCTCTCTCTCTCTCTCTGGGTGTTTTGTTTTTTTTGTGCACATAATAATTAAAACGGGCAAGGGGGGGTTTATTGTTTCTGTGCCTTTCTCTGTTCTGCGGCGGGGGGAGAGCCCCGGGGGGACCCTGTGGCTCCCGGCCCTTCCTTTGGGATCATTCCCAATCTTTGGGGTTCCTTCCTTTGGGATCATTCCCAGTTTTGTGGCTCCTTCCTTTGGGATCATTCCCAATCTTTGGGATTCCTTCCTTTGGGATCGTTCCCAAATTTTGGGGTTCCTTCCTTTGGGATCGTTCCCAAATTTTGGGGTTCCTTCCTTTGGGATCATTCCAAATTTTGGGTTCCTTCCTTTGGGATCATTCCCAATCTTTGAGCTGTTTCCTTTGGGAATTATTCCCAAAGCTGGGATTCCTTCCTTTGGGATCATTCCAATCTTTGGGCTCCTTCCTTTGGGATTATTCCCAAATTTGGGCTGTTTCCTTTGGGATCATTCCCAATCTTTGGGCTCCTTCCTTTGGGATCATTCCCAAATTTGGGGTTCCTTCCTTTGGGATCATTCCCAATTTTGGGTTCCTTCCTTTGGGATCATTCCCAATCTTTGGGGTTCCTTCCTTTGGGATCATTCCCAATTTTGGGATTCCTTCCTTTGGGATCGTTCCAAATTTTGGGCTCCTTCCTTTGGGATCATTCCCAATCTTTGAGTTCCTTCCTTTGGGATCATTCCCAATCTTTGAGCTGTTTCCTTTGGGAATTATTCCCAAAGTTGGGATTCCTTCCTTTGGGATCATTCCAATCTTCGGGCTCCTTCCTTTGGGATTATTCCCAAATTTGGGCTGTTTCCTTTGGGATCATTCCCAATCTTTGGGCTCCTTCCTTTGGGATCATTCCCAAATTTGGGGTTCCTTCCTTTGGGATCATTCCCAATTTTGGGTTCCTTCCTTTGGGATCATTCCCAATCTTTGGGGTTCCTTCCTTTGGGATCATTCCCAATTTTGGGATTCCTTCCTTTGGGATCGTTCCAAATTTTGGGCTCCTTCCTTTGGGATCATTCCCAATCTTTGAGCTGTTTCCTTTGGGAATTATTCCCAAAGTTTGGATTCCTTCCTTTGGGATCATTCCAATCTTTGGGCTCCTTCCCTTGGGATTATTCCCAATTTTGATCTGTTTCCTTTGGGATCATTCCCAATCTTTGGGGTTCCTTCCCTTGGGATTATTCCAAATTTTTTGGTTCCTTCCTTTGGGAATTATTCCCAATTTTGGGCTGTTTCCTTTGGGATCATTCCCAATCTTTGGGTTTCTTCCTTTGGGATCATTCCAAATTTTTGGGTTCCTTCCTTTGGGATCATTCCAAATTTTTGGGTTCCTTCCTTTGGGATTATTCCGGGAAAAATAAAAATCCGGGAATAGGGAAAAAAAAAAAAAAAACGGGAAAGAAAACAACAAACCGGGAATAAAGAAAAAACCGGGAATTGGGAAAATCCGGGAAAAATCTGGCGGGGGGACGGGGACGGGATGGGGGGACGGGAAAATTTGGGTGGGAATAGGGAAAAATGTGAAAAAAGGGGAAAAATCGGGCAGGATTTGGGGGGAAAAAATTGGGAAAAATCAACAAAATGCGGGTGAAAAGTGGGGAAAAAGAGGAAAACGAGGCCAAATTTCGGTTAAAAATGAGGAAAGAGACGAAATTGGGGCAGATCTGGGGGAAAATGGTCCAAAAAAGGTAAAGAATTTGTTCAGATTTGGGTAAAAAGTGCCCAAAACGAGCAAAAAAGGCCAAAATATGAGGTAAAACCCGGAAAAATAAAATCAAAATTAATCCAGATTTGGGTCCAAAATGGCCAAAAAATTCCAAAATTAATTCAGATTTGGGTCAGAAATTGCCAGAAGTTGGGGAAAGGAGGAAAAAGGTGGAGAAAATTGGGTGGGAAAGGGGCAAAAAAGGGAAAATAAGGCCAAATTGGGGGGAAAGCGGAAAAAAAATGAGAAAATTCGGGGGAAAAAACAAAAAAAAAGGAGAAAATCTGAAGAAAAAGGGGAAAAAGAAGAGACAAAATTTGGTGGAAAAAAAAAAGGAGAAAATTTGGGATAAAAATGGAAAAAAGAGACAAAATTTCGGGCAAAAATGGGTGAAAATCCCAAAAGGGGGGAAAAAAGAGGGATTTTGGTGCAGGTTTGGGTCCAGAGGTCCATGAAAGGTTCCTGAGGGACTTCCAGAAGGTTCTGGAGCCACCCCGGGGGTTCCAGACTATCCTGAATGGTGCTGGGTGGTGCTGAGGTTCTAGATCGTTCTGCAGGGCTCTAGAGCGTTCTGCGGGTTCTAGAGCGTTCTACTGGGTTCTAGAGCGTTCTACTGGGTTCTAGATCGTTCTAGATCGTTCTAGATCGTTCTAGAGGGTTCTAGATCGTTCTAGAGGGTTCTAGAGGTTCTAGATCGTTCTACCGGGTTCTAGATCGTTCTACCGGGTTCTAGACTGTTCTACCGGGTTCTAGATCGTTCTACTGGGTTCTGGACTGTTCTACCGGGTTCTAGACTATCTTGACTAGTCCTGAGCAGTGCTGAGGTTCTAGATCGCCCTGAGGATCCTGAGGGGCTTCCAGAAGGTTCTGGATCCATCCTGAGGGTCCTGAGGGGCTTCCAGAAGGTTCTGGATCCATCCCGAGGGTCCTGAAGGCTGCTGAGGTTCTCCCGGGGTTTTGGACTGTCCTGGGTGATCTGGAACCTCAGCACCGGGCGGGGTCCAGCAGAATATTCCAGAACCCCCAGACTGGTTCCAGAACCTCGGGACTCTCAGGATGGATTTTGGGGTGAAATCCCAGGGGATTTTGGGTGGAAATTAGGGGATTTGGGGGGAAAATCTGGGATTTTGAGATGAAATTCGGGGATCTGGGGGAAAATTTGGGATTTTGGGGTGACAAAGAGACCCCCGGGGTGGGTTTGGGGTGGATTTTAGGGGGGTTTGGGGTGGATTTTGGGTGGATTTGGGGTGGATTTTGGGGTGGATTTGGGGAGGATTTTGGGGTGGATTTTAGGGGGGTTT